TTTTATTTTTATACACTACCATTCAAAAGTTATGGGACGGTAAGATTTTTTAAAATATTTTTAATGTTTAAGTCTCTGATGCTCATCAAGGCTACATTTATTTGATAAAAAATACAATAAAAACAGTCATATATGAGCTACATTTTACAATTTAAAGTAGATAATTTAATAATTATGAATTAATTTACATGAATATAGCTCCCATAACTCTCACCTCAAGGAGGGCACCAGTCTGAAAGAATTTTAGGGGCTTCTCTATCGAGTAATAAAGACCATGGTAGCTTCCTCTGGCAAGGTATGCTCGAACCAGACCAACAGCAATGACCAGCCATCTAGATAGGAAAGATTCGTAGAGTAACTCTGTAGTGCCACTCGTCCTTGCTTTGAGAGAGGAGGGCATTTTCGCAATGCACACAGGCGTGGAACTGCATGCAAATCTCTTACAACACAGCATTTAACGGCAAATAGTGGCTTTTAACAGTTTCATTCAAATACATACAGCACATTTATTATTACAGCACATATATGTGCATTGTATGCATGTACTGATGCAAAATGTACTCATGAGCTTGTGAATACACTCCAGTTTCTCAAAATATGTATTTTTCTGTTTTAACTTCTTTTATCTGTCATAGTCATTTATGTGCAGCTCTTGGTATAAAATGAAGACAAGATAGAAGAGCATCAATACCATGTTACTAACAGAAGCACATCATCTTTATCTGAATATCACCAAAAACAAACAGCAAGTATTTTAAAATCAGACTGAATTAAGTGAAGCAAAGCCAAGAAATTAATCCGCATAAGACACAGGACTGTACTGTAATTTCGAATTGAAAATAATGCACATAGTACATACACTACTGGACAAAGTTTAGTGTCCCTGTGAGATATCATGAAATGGTCTTTAACTGAAAACATAAGACACAGGACTGTACTGTAATTTCGAATTGAAAATAATGCACATAGTACACTACTGGACAAAGTTTAGTGTCCCTGTGAGATATCATGAAATGGTCTTTAACTGAAAAGCAACGACTGAATTGCATCATCAAACTATTCCTGATTGCAGTCTGGACCATCACGAGCACAATTAATGCCAACATCCCATAATATAACTGCATTTTATCAAAAATTCATGCATTAAACATCATTAGCTATCTAAACACATATGTGGTTCACTCAAATCAGAAAGCAGGTGAAGGTTATAATGACGGCGATGGACGTTATATCTCAAACAGGTTTGATTGAAGCATGTGGATACTCAATATTGACTGGGTGAATTCACATTTTAAACAGGTTATTGTACAGGTAATTCATCTCCGCTCTAAACTAATGTGCTGCTACATTGTTGCACACGCGCGCACAACACACAAGCTCGCACAGATCGCGCGCACATAGAAACATTCAGGAGTGAAGAAAATTATTGTAATCGCTGTCCTGTGATTTATCAGCTTAAAAACGTAAAAGTTACAGCATATTCTTTCTGTTTCTTAAGTAAGTACAAACCTCAGCATCGCCATAGTAGAGAGACGCTGCACAGACAAAGTAAGTTAAACAATCATTTAATATAGACTTGAGCTAATTGTAGTGTTCCAATAATCCACGTTAAAACTATTCTTCTAGTATTGAGCATTTATTTTTCATTTAAAAAAAGTTCTGAACAGAACTTCGATATTTCAAAACATTGAGAAAATGTAGCAAACCCGGTTTGGTTACTGCAGATGCCGCATTGAGAAGTTCAAATCATTCTTGTGCTTGCGCTCTCTCAAATCATTTGAGTAAATCAGTTGGTTCCAAAAGCTCGAGTTAATAAACTGGTTAAAAGCAGGTTCCTCACTTACAGTCAACCGAATTGCAAAAAAAAAGAACAATTGCAGAAGAACGACTCCCATCCCCAGGCCTGGAAAGCAAGGATATGAAGTCTTAAAAGTTATGAAAATTTTTTTTTCTAGTCATACTCAGCTCAAAAATATTTGAATCGATTAAATCTGCTTTGTTTGAGTGCAATAACTGAAACCAAGGACTGAAATCTACAATAATTGCAGATTATTATTAATTATTGCCTTGTGTTCTTTAGTTGGGACTTAGATTTGAATTATTATTCAAGCGATTTTAGGAGGATTTTTTTAACGTTTCAAATGTGCAGAAAAAATCGATTTTAATAAGCAACGCTTCATTTACATAAATTAGCACCTTTTAAAACAATGTTTACAAATTGCTTTCCAGAAAAGAATTCACAGAGAACAAAAATCATCTCAAATATTTTACTAGCTCTATTTTACTCAAATATAGCCATTTATCACTATTTAAATTAATCTATATGGGTTTTTTTTTCCAAATGTTGTATTTATTGTTTCAGCATCCCTTCTCAAAACCCAGAGTGATTAAGACATAGATAGGTTCTACCGAATCGGACATAATTGTGCAACAGTTTCGGGGTTACGAAGGGCAGTGCACTTCTATTCACAGTTTAACCACATCAGCTTCTGCCTATTGAACTATTGCTACATTTAAACAAACAAAGACAATAAATTCGCTCGTACGTCCACTAATGTCATCTAAATGTAAAATAAGAACAATGCATTAAGCAAGGATATGAAGTCTTAAAAGTTATGTAAACGTCTGTAGTGATTTTTTTTTCTAGTCATACTCAGCTCAAAAATATTTGAATCGATTAAATCTGCTTTGTTTGAGTGCAATAACTGAAACCAAGGACTGAAATCTACAATAATTGCAGATTATTATTAATTATTGCCTTGTGTTCTTTAGTTGGGACTTAGATTTGAATTATTATTCAAGCGATTTTAGGAGGATTTTTTTAACGTTTCAAATGTGCAGAAAAAATCGATTTTAATAAGCAACGCTTCATTTACATAAATTAGCACCTTTTAAAACAATGTTTACAAATTGCTTTCCAGAAAAGAATTCACAGAGAACAAAAATCATCTCAAATATTTTACTAGCTCTATTTTACTCAAATATAGCCATTTATCACTATTTAAATTAATCTATATGGGTTTTTTTTTCCAAATGTTGTATTTATTGTTTCAGCATCCCTTCTCAAAACCCAGAGTGATTAAGACATAGATAGGTTCTACCGAATCGGACATAATTGTGCAACAGTTTCGGGGTTACGAAGGGCAGTGCACTTCTATTCACAGTTTAACCACATCAGCTTCTGCCTATTGAACTATTGCTACATTTAAACAAACAAAGACAATAAATTCACTCGTACGTCCACTAATGTCATCTAAATGTAAAATAAGAACAATGCATTCATGCAACCAATGATCTCTGTCAACCAGCAGCCCAGAAGAGTTTATGGCGTATTTAACAGGCGTTAATAGGATTTACGTTGCATTGCATTAGCAAAATATTCGGAACAAATTTTCTTTATTTTCATTTCAAACAAACTGTGTTCAATCATGCAATATAAACTCAAAGGGGAGGTAACCGCGAATCTGTCAAGCACTTAGATACAGCACGCTGTCTGAAATCTAACCATTCATTCTGTCACACGCTCGAACAGAGAGAGCACGGAAGAGCATTTGATTGTCATCATACCCTGCTGTCATAACCACGTTGTAAATGACCAGATATGCGATGGCCAGCGTTCCGGGTCCCTTTTTCTTCTTGTTACTGGAATCAGTGTGCGCTGTTTTTCTGGTCCCCATGGCAGGTGCCGACATGACTGAACTACCATTAGAAAGACTGGATCATCCAAATGGTCCCGGTGAATAAAGGCGTGTGGCCTTGCTTGACATGTATAGAAGGTGCTTATGAATGGAGCGCCCCCTGGCGAGTACCGGGTGTAAATGATGTCTTGTGTGTTACTCTGTTACAGTTTAGATTCGCTTATTCACGGACATGTTTAACAATAACAACAAAACTGTAGTGTTTTGTATTAATGATAAATATAATGTTCATAAATTATCATATTTGAGTTGATTTTGTGTTACAGAAATTTCAGAAACATCAATTCCAGTCGCTAGATGGCAGTGCGGGTCTCGTGCTCAGAACGCACTGGTCTTTAAAATGACTCAACATTCATGCCTTTCGGAAATATAGATTTATAAAAAACAAACAATGAAATCATTTCAATTTTTGTAGTATTCATATAAATTCTAAATATAACTTAAAATCTTGAATCATTTGACTATTGTGACACGTCAGCGATTTCTGACAGGCATTGCGTTTGCTTACTAAGTTTACGGAAGAGCAACTGGTGGAAGTGGACGCAATTTAATGGATGAGAGAACGACAAATCATCGATTTACGTTGATAATACGCTTGAATTTAACCTTTAATAGATAGGAAAAGGTCTCAAAATGCCTTTATTTGGCCAAAACCCGTTCGATCAGGATGTGGGTGAGTTTGACAGTGTTGTTTTTGTCAGGGCCGATTTAGCGCACTGCTCGATGTCAGATCCTCAAGATCTTTGTTTTTGTTAGTTTTTTTCTGTTTATTTCCTCTATTAGTCTGATCCCTTATATGTCTTATATTTTGGGATTTAACTATTAAAGCTGTCCAACGTAATTAGCAGAACGGACACCATACTTTCAAAATTGTTCTACTTTTCTGGAACTTTTTAGATGAACACTGAACATTTCCAGTCTGTCAAAAAGAACTTTTTTGAGCTGTTTGTACGGAGTTCATCATACTAAAATGTCAAAATGTTTATTATTTCAATAAATAAAGCTTTTTAACTCGAAGATATTTCCTATATATGCCGTGATATTTAAACATGATTTTAACTACTAATAATATACTATAATTACAATACAATACAATATAATATAATTCATATAACATAGTATAATACAATAAATACATTTAATTAACAAAATGTAATGTAATAAAAAAAAAAAACTTAAATCTAACATGAATCTAACATATGCCTTCCTAATACAATGTTATATCAAAATGCATTTTTTTTTAAATCAATTTCCAGTAAGCATGAATGAGTAATGGGAGTTCATTTGTCAAAAGTAACACACAATAACATGTACAGGTGCATCTCAATAAATTAGAATGTCGTGGAAAAGTTCATTTATTTCAGTAATTCAACTCAAATTGTGAAACTCGTGTATTAAATAAATTCAGTGCACACAGACTGAAGTAGTTTAAGTCTTTGGTTCTTTTAATTGTGATGATTTTGGCTCACATTTAACAAAAACCCACCAATTCACTATCTCAACAAAATATTTCCTATATATGCCGTGATATTTAAACATGATTTTAACTACTAATAATATACTATAATTACAATACAATACAATATAATATAATTCATATAACATAGTATAATACAATAAATACATTTAATTAACAAAATGTAATGTAATAAAAAAAAAAAACTTAAATCTAACATGAATCTAACATATACCTTCCTAATACAATGTTATATCAAAATGCATTTTTTTTTAAATCAATTTCCAGTTTTTCATAGTTTTGTCCTTTGAGAGCTTAGTGTGTATGAACTTGTGACACTGTGTGTTCCTCTGTGGAGGAGTTTAAAGCACTCGAGTATTGGTCATTTTATTTCAAGCTGTACTTTGCTGGATGTTGCAATGCAAATTTCCCTGTCGTCATTAAGAGTTAGTCATTCAAATGCACCCAGTTGTTTTATTCTTGAAGGAGGGGTAAAATAATCTATACTAGTGGGTTATCATAGAAATGCTTGTTGTGCATGTCGAGACAAGCTGGATATGCAAAATAACAGGCAAAACAGGCTACTTTGTCTGTTTAACAGCATGCATATAAGCCTCTTGCTTACTAAACATTTATTAAAATCTTGTTCTTCAATACCTTGGATGTAAATCTGATCATATTCACACTTGTTTCATTTTTATTATTATTATTATTTTTTATTTTTATTTTATATTTGTATATATACTAATTGTTCTATTCAGTATTGTGTGTTTATGGCCTTTGAGAATATTGTTTTAAGAGTATCATTTGAATTTGTTTGTATGAATGCTCATTCCTTCGCATTTTCAGAGAAAGCAACTAGTGAAACTAACACATCAGAGGACTGGGGCCTCATTATGGATATCTGTGACCGGGTCGGGACAACTCCCAATGGGTGAGTTTCTCCCAACTATGTTTTCAATGCTTACTTTAGTAACAATTAATAACATTAATGTTGCTTGTATGCATTCTTTTTCTTCTTATATAGATACATTTTGTTGGATATTTATTTCTATTATTTTTATTTTATTTTATTAATTTTTATCTAAAAAAAACGGTGCGTCTCTCCCTAATATAAATATTTTCATGCCCCTTATTGTCATTTTCACTTTTTTCTGTCGTAGTGCAAAGGATTGTCTCAGGTCAGTCATGAAGCGTGTGAACCACAAGGTCCCTCATGTAGCCATGCATGCATTAACGGTGAGCTCTTCATCTTCAGTTCCCATTGTAGAGTTTAGTAAACGATCATATTAGTTATCACAGTGTTAATGTTCTTGGGAAAAAGAACCTGTGTATGGCATGCAAATAGTCACTGCGCACTAAACTCGGGTAGAAAAACTAAAACTGTAAAAGCTTTAAAAACTCCAGAGCGCATCTGGAAGTGACAGGCATCTTTGTGGGCTCCCACTCTGACTCACCAACATCTCAACCTGCAAAGATTGAGAATTAAAATTTTTTTAATTGGTGAATTTGTTGTAATAATAATAATTGTACAGATAATCTAACAGAAATAGAAATGTTGCAAGCGTTCAGTAATGACAGTAACAGTAATTCTTATTTTTTTATTGTAATTATTATTAATCTTTATTTTGTATCTACATTTAATTTACACATATTTAAAGAATAAACAGTTATGTAAAATGTTACAAGACTGCAATAACAATAAATAGTAATAGTAAGAAATTAATTATTAATATTGTTATTATTAATCTTCATTATGATGTCACATTTCATTTACACACATTTGAAGTATAAACAAACAGTTATAGAATTGTTACAGGTGTGCAATCACTGTTTGTGTAGAAAATTGTTCTTAAATTGTCATAGAAATCCTGGAAGTATCAGGAAGTTTTTAAATAAAATGTTCTTAGCCTGGAAAAGTCATGGAAATATCTTTTATTCAATATACATTTAAATTTACCTGTTCATGAATTAGCAAATCAGTCTGAAGCAATTTTTTTTAAACATATCCACTATTTACAAATAACAGGAAAGGTCTTGGAAATTCATTGATCATGAAAGGTTTTTTTTATGCAAATAATGGTTGCTGAAATATTGCTGTATTTTCCCTGTTTAGTTGCTGGGTGCCTGCGTTTCAAACAGTGGAAAAATCTTTCACCTAGAAATCTGCTCACGGGAGTTTGCCAGTGAAGTTCGTAGTGTGTTAAACAAGGTAAGGAACTTCAGCTCACTGTACACATTAAGGCAAATACTGTTGATAATGTCTGCCATCCTCATTGTCTTCTCCTCAGGCTCACCCAAAGGTTGCTGAGAAACTCAAGGCTCTGATGGTGGAGTGGGCCGAAGAGTTCCAGAAAGACCCGCAACTGAGTCTCATCAGTGCCACCATCAAGTCTCTCAAAGAAGACGGAGTGGCCTTTCCCACCGCAAACCCTCAGGTATTTCTACTATCAACTAATAACGTGATCCTGTTGGATCTCACGGTGTGATGTCAGCTGTCCATAAACACAAATGCTGATGAACAGACAGCAGCCGTTGGTACTTGGCCAAGATACTGTATATGACCCTGTAATTTGGCTGGGTTTAGCTTCATAGCGATAACTTTTTACATCCTAATTTTGCGTAGTTCATTAGTTATTCTGTTTGTATTTCCTGTATTGGTAGGTCACAGAAATCTGTGACAGATGTATCTGTGTCACCTCGTTGTCATGCCATGTCTGCAGTGTAGGTCACTGCAATGTTCTTTCAGAGTTTCTGTGCTTAATATTGTCAAATGTTTGCATTTTAAAATGGAGGAAAATATTTTTGTATATGTATGTTTGTTGTAGTTGGTTTAATTTATGAATTAATGTATAATAACTGTATATCGTACAGTTACAATTCTATTCAGAAGTTTGGGGTCATTAAGATTTCATTATTGTTAGTATTATTGTAATTGTTTTTTGGAGGGAAATTAATACTTTTATTCGGCAAGGACATTCATTTAATTAATAGTGACATGTATAATATTACCAAAGATTTCAATTTGAAATAAATGCTGTTTTTTTAACTTTCTATTCATCAAAAATCCTGAAAAAAAAGTATCACCGTTTTCACAAAATATTACGTAGCACAACTGTTTTCAACATTAATAATAATAAGAAATGTTTCTTGAGCACATATCAAGAAATTGGCATATTAGAACGATTTCTGAAGGATCACGTGAGACTGAAAACTGGAGTAATGTCTCCAGCTAAATCAGCTTTGCCATCACTGAAAAAAAATACTTTTGTAAAATAGAAAACTGTTCTTTTAAACTGTAATGATATTTAACAATATTACTGTTAATAATAATGTTTTGTGGTGATTTTTCTTTATTTTTAACGTTTTGTTTGGTCAATCTTTGAAAAAGGCCATGTGTTTTTAAAGATTATTTAAACTTTTAACATTAAAAGTTAATAAACAATAGTCAGCCACCTCTGTATGAGAGATGGTTTATGAATTAATCATGTGACTAAACATGACCACTGTTTCTCACATGACATATCTGATAACACTTTAGCCATTTAGGTTAGAGGCGAATAAAGCAGCCGAGTGCATCTGGAATGCTAAAGCATGTGTGTAAACCTGAGACAGAATGGAATTTCCTGTCACAT